CTATGAGCAAGGAGTAGATATAAATTTTTCTGGAAAATCGTTTCATTATATTTATTTGAATTATTCTATGCTTAGGAAAGAAAATTTAATTGTTCTATAATGGGATGAAGATGTGATTGCTAGTTTAATAAATTGACTGGTAACCATTCTTTCAATCTATGCTGTAGATCAAATCCATGAAGGATATGTACTTGGGTGAAATGAATGACATGTACCTGAAGATCACTGCAAAGTTGCAGCAGGTAAGGTTGCCTCTTTGTACAATTACTTCTGAAATTCATTGCCTAACCCACCTTTTATTTTATCTTTTTTTATTTCGTAACCATACTTTTATATTTAAAGAGAAAGCAGAAAATTAATAATCAATGAATCAACATAAGAGATTTAATTGAGTCCTGTTTTGATTGGCACCTGATCCTACTTCCAAAGTTTAGTTTTTCTTAGATGTATACATAAACACTGGTAGTGGTTTGAGATGTACGTATATGGTCTTAAGAAAATTCTATATTGTTGTTGGTTTTCCAGCATGAATCTATGCAACAACAGTCAAGGTCGGAGCAGTTAGACAAGTTGAAAATTTTCAAGGCCATGTTGGAACGTATTTTAGGTTTTATATCAGTTTCCTCCAAAGAGAACATTACCCCCCAACACAGGGAAAAATGGAGTTCTTTTGAGAAGCAGATAGTGCATTTTTCATCTTCAAATAGGCCCAGGAAGCCTGCTCAGCAAGGACAACTTCCTGTACCTCATATGCAACCCATTCCACAGCCACAGTCTCAGCTCTCTCAAGTACAGTCTCATGATAATCAAATGAACCCTCAGTTGCAGTCAGTGAACATGCAAGGTTCTATGCAAACAATGCAACAGAACAACTTGTCAAATTTGCAGCATAATTCTCTGACGTCTTTGCCTGGGGTTTCATCAGCACAGCAGAGTATATTAAGTTCACTGCAGCCAAGTTCGAACATGGATTTGGGTCAAGGAGCTGCTCTGAGCACACTGCAGCAGGTTGCTGCGGGGTCTCTGCAACAAATTCCTGTTAGTGCTCCCCAACAACCAAACATTAACACTCTGTCATCACAAAGTGGAGTGAATGTTCTACAGCCAAATATAAATCCTCTTCAGCCAAATCCTAACATGCTTCAGCCCCAGCATCTCAAACAAGAACAGCCAATGCTTCAATCACAACAGCTCAAACATTTGCAACAGCGGCAGATGCAGCACCCCCACCAGCACTTTATACAGAAACAGCAGCTACTGCAGCAGCAGCAGTTACAAGCAAAGCAGCAGATGCCTGCACAGTTGCAAACACACCAAATGTCACAGCTGCATCAAATGAATGATGTAAATGATATTAAGATGAGACAAGGGATGGGTGTCAAGCCAGGGGTCTTTCAACAGCATCCAACAGGCCAGCGTCCAGCTTATCCCCATCAACAGTTAAAAGCAGGTTCTCAGTTTCCTATTTCTTCACCTCAACTACTCCAGTCTGCATCTCCTCAAATGCCTCAACATTCTTCTCCCCAAGTTGATCAGCAAAGTCTGTTATCATCCATTACAAAAACTGGAACCCCATTGCAATCTGCAAGCTCTCCTTTTGTTGTCCCATCTCCCTCTACTCCCATGGCTCCATCTCCTATGCCTGGCGATTCTGAGAAACCTACTTCTGGCACTTCCTCACTTACAAATACTGGAAATATTGGACACCAACCAGCAACTGCAGTTCAGGTGGGGACACAGTCCCTTGCAATTGGCACTCCTGGGATGTCAGCTTCACCATTGCTGGCAGAGTTCACAGGTAGTGATGCCACACATGGTCATACTTTGCCAACTGTTTCTGGCAAGTCAACTGTTATGGAGCAGCCTCTTGATCGCTTAATTAAATCGGTTAGTCAAGCTTAATTCTTCAGAGCTTTTTGTTTTTGGTTCTCTTCTGTGTTTAAATGGCATTGCTTTGGAAGATGGTAAGAGAAAAACAGTAGGAAATGTGCAAGGGGAAATTTTTTAAGTTTTCAATCCTTTTTTCCTTGCAATCAATTGGCTAATAATATTGTTCTGCAGGTAAAATCCTTGTCTCCTAAGGCATTGAGTGCATCTGTCAGTGATATTGGTTCAGTTGTCAGTATGATTGATAGGATTGCAGGGTCTGCCCCAGGTAATGGGTCTAGAGCTGCAGTTGGTGAGGATTTAGTTGCCATGACCAAATGTCGTCTGCAAGCAAGAAATTTTATCACACAAGATGGAATGGCTGGGACAAAGAAAATGAGACGCTACACGAGTGCCATGCCCTTAAATGTTGTGTCATCAGCAGGCAGCATGAATGATAGTTTTAAACAATTGACTGGTTCAGAGACTTCTGATTTGGAGTCAACTGCAACATCTAGCATCAAGAGGCCAAGAGTTGAGGTATTTTTTAATTTTTTGTTGTACATTTTATGAAATGTTGAGGTATTGATGAACTTTTAGTTCTGTGTTCTCCACTATATATTCTTTTCCTCTTAGTTCTATGGTAGAAAACAGTTTCTACTTAAATATTGTTTTGTAGAAGACTCTGTTGGTCGACATGTTAATTAGTTGTTTCATTGCCTCTGTTGTGTGTTCCTTTGTTTGCTCATTGATTCATTAACGTTTATTCTGTGAGATTATCCTGTTTTCTTGAAATGCTTATTGTTATTTTTTAGAATATCTCTGAAAGAGAAATGCTTATTGTTAATTCATCCTTGTTTCTCAATTTTCAATTGTCATATCAATTTATTTCTTGTTCTTAAATTGGACATTAGTAAAATCCCATTTATCATGCTGTTGTTAATCAAATCCTTGGCATAATCAATGTGCCGGTTTTATATTTGGAAAAATAATAGTTAACTAGCTTATAAAGAATTGTGCATCTTAATCCACTTTCAGATGGAAAGTTGACCTTGTGATGTAAGCAAGCAGGGTACATGCTTAGAATATCCAGGCTTTTCCATGCCACCCATTTTTCTACATTCACAACATCAAAAAATATACCATGATTAATTCTTTAGGTTTGTTATTTTAATAAAAAATGTATTTCTTAGGATAACATGATGTGGGACTGTCTCCAATTTGACACTGAGCTGTAAGAAATTACTTAGAAAAATGCCTATGTTAAAGATCACTTTAATGATAGCCTTTTGAAGGAGAATCCATGGTTTAGTATTGTACCAGATTCATAACCAGTCAAAATAGTGAAACTAAGTAATGAACAAGAAGAAAGTGCTATACTGCATAATAGAAGCATGACAAGGTTGAGCTCTTGAATTTTTAAACCCATATTTAGAATATATCACCTAGTGATGCAATTGCAAGGTGTCTGAAATCCTGGAAAAGATGTCATAATTGAATGGGGATCTGATTATTGTGCCTCCAATCCTATCACATCTGGAATTTTCTACAAAAATATCTTCATAAGTACACATCTCAAAGGATCCTATTATGAATGCCTGTACCTGGATAGGCCTTTTGGGTGAACCTGTGCTTGTTGGATGCAACAAATGGTGCTAAGAGTCATTGCAGAGGATGTACGATATGCGGGAATGCTTGGAGTTTTTATGCATTCATGGTTTTTGCCCTCAGTTGTATACTTTGTAGACAACATAAAGGCTAAGGCATGTTGGGATTCCCTGTCTTGGTGAGTGTATGGGTGCTTTAATAAGGAGAGATTGTAACTCATCATGAATCTCATGACTGTAATGTGTTGCCAGGATCTCTAGTTGTATGTGGGAAGTAGCATTTGGGAACAACTTTTCAGCCTTCTGTAGAGAACAAAACCATTACATTCATTAGGTAAAAAAAGACATTTCCTTGCAAATGCTATCACTAACTGACAAAGGCACTAAGGTAACTTGAGAGGTAAAAAGCATCATGGTCTTGTATTGATGCAAGTGGGTTGGTGGAGTAACAGTTCAAGATCTTGGGGCAATGGCAAGTTGTTTCGTATCCTAATGGACTAGGTTGATCCAAGTTGAAGTTTATATTGGAAGTTCAACAAGGAGAGTTCTGTGAGTTATAAAGAGCATGTTTGCTGAAACTTGTAAGTGCTTAAGCTTTTTGATAGTATTCATGTTTCATAAGTTTAAATTTCTCTTTTAAAAATTTACATTTTTTAACTTTTTTTTAACCTTAAAAAGATCTTAAACAGTAAATTTTAAAAAGCTTCAAGCTTTTGCTTTTTATAAATTTCTTTTTTACTCACTTCTTACTTTTTATTATTTCTGAAAGCAACTTTTAAATTTTCCTTTTTATAAAAATTTAAACTTATGACTCATAAATAGTACTAAAAAAGTAAAAGCTCCAAGAAGCTCCACCAAACAAGCCCAAAGTACCTGGGAAGTAATAATCATGTTTGTGCATCTCTGACAAATTTTACTAGCAAGAAGTTATATGCATTGACCTTAGAGGAATTTATTAGACCAGTTTAGGACTCAAATTACTGTGTAACAAACCTATGTACTTTTTACAGTATAATTGTTTGCTGTTATTGGTTAGCATGAGTGGCAGTTGTCTCGTCAAATGATAGTACTTGAGGATTTCATAACAATAACAATGAACTGCAATATAAGCAGCATGGGTAGAAAAATTTTATTGAGATTTTCAGGATAAGTATTATTATTAAGTTTTTGGTATAAATTATATAATTATTATTACTTTTTTTTTTCTTTTTTTTCTCTTTTGCTGCACAGATTTTGCTTTCATAATGGCACCAATATTAGTGGTATTGCCACACAGATTTTGTTTTCGGGCGATAAGAGTTCTAGCTTTTATTGAACACGTAATTGTCATGAGAATGCAGTATACTGACTGTATTCAGAATCCCATTGGCCAAGCCCACGGATCAGTGTAATATTGGCTCATGCATATCACTACTATTCAACCTGAAACATTAACTATTCTTCTTTTCTTTTTCTTTCCCCCTGTTTTTTTTAACAGTGAAACCTTAACCTTAATATATATGTATATGAAAATTCATCCCGCAATCAATTTAACATCGATTGAAGGAATTGGATTGAACAAGATCTCTGTCTCCTCAAAATGTCAACCTCTGCTTTTTTTTCGATCAGCAAAATATATATATATATATATTCAATATGAGAAAATGTCAACCTCTGATGATTATCAAAATTTCTAACGAAGTTTGTTTGTTATGTTATGTGCTAAATGCACGCTGTAAATGAGTCATATTCTTTCCTTAGCTGCTTCCTACTCTCAGAATCTTAAGCTCTTTGGTATTCTTTAGGGAACTGGAAGCTTGAGTTTTTCCATTCTTGGACATGCATTTAAATAAATAAAGGCCATGTGATGCTGATTCAAAGTAGATAATTTGGACATATTTTTGAACCTATTGCAGGTTAATCATGCCCTTTTGGAAGAAATAAGAGAAATTAATCAGAGACTAATAGACACAGTGGTCGATATCAGTGATGAAGATGTTGATCCAACTGCAGCAGCTGAAGGGGGTGAAGGAACTGTTGTCAAGTGTTCTTTCAGTGCTGTGGCTCTTAGTCCAAACTTGAAATTGCAGTATGCTTCAGCACATATGGTGTGTGTACATATGTCATATGGATGTCACTTGGAGGCACCATGCATTTTTCTGTATTTATTAATGCCTTTTGCTTTTGTGCAGTCACCAATTCAACCCTTGCGGTTGCTGGTTCCCACAAATTACCCAAATTGTTCCCCAATACTATTGGACAAATTTCCTGTTGAACTAAGGTAAGGGAATGGGGTATTTTGATCCCAATGGACATTTTCTTCCTTCTCTCTATCTAAATAGGCTTCTGCTGCATTGAGCAACTGTAGAATTCATTTTTGGCCAATTAAAATGCACTATAGTTGGTTTCTTCTGTTTTCTTGCATGTCTTGAGTGATCCCTCTCTTTAAGAAATTCTTGCTGAATTACTAACTTTAATAATTTAGAAAATAATTTTTTCCGAAGTTGGAATACAAGAAATACTGTTCAATGTTTATAGTTCTTCTCACCTTATGGAGTCTTGCTTTAGGTGGATGGTCAGAGCATTTGCATCTTTTATGGCTTAGTTAATCAGTTTCTATGTTGTTTAGGGCATGTCTCAATGGCTGGAGTTTAAGACTTTCAACTTTGAGGTCGTAGGTTTAAAAGTTGGGACAGGTGGGAATGGATTTGGGAAAGGGGGGGATTATTATCCTCTGTTCTATTCCCCTAATTACATCTCAAGAAAAGGGGCTTCAATGACATCCAGCTTGAAAACTGTTAAATCAATAATATCTGGTTTTTGAATTCTCTCTACAATAGTGCACAGATAAATACCTTTAGTGTAGTTGAGGTGCGTAAATGACATGCTTAAAGGAATTTCATCCTCTCTTTTTCATTTCATGAAATCTTAGCCTGTGTTTAAATTTTGAGTCTCCATCAGTAATACGATTCTGGGTACCATTTCCTGCTATAACAGTAAGGAGTACGAAGACCTTTCAGTGAAAGCAAAGTCGAGGTTTAGTATATCGCTACGAAGTCTATCACAACCTATGTCACTTGGAGAGATTGCAAGGACTTGGGATGTTTGTGCCCGTGCTGTTATCTCTGAGTATGCACAACAGAGTGGTGGAGGAAGCTTCAGCTCTAAATATGGTACTTGGGAGAACTGCTTGAGCGCTGCCTAGTGCTGTTATTGGAGTTGTTTTGATACAGTGTACCTATAATCATTCACAAACCGAAGCAGTTTTTGGATATTAACTCAGGAATATTATCCAGAAAAGGGAAAAGAAAAAGTTCATACATGTGTGAGACTACTCGGAGAAGTTTGTCAGCTTGAATATTTGCTCCGTAACAGTCACTTCGTATTTTGTTATTGTCGCTTGTAAAAATGGAAGCATCTGCCTGAGACATGTTTGAACACGTAGACAACTATTGTGAGTCTCGAGTAATTATGCTACGATTCTCATCAGCATGTTTGTAACAGCTAAATTTATTAGAACGATCTGTACACAGTAAATGGGAAACTTCGAAATATGAATATGCTGCATTTGTTTTTAAATAATTTGATTGGTGTATTTTCCGTTAGTTTTATAAAGCAAAGCGGAAGCCAAAAATAAATTTCCTCTTACATCTCAATCAAAATTTTTATGTATCCATTTACGGTTAAGGGTTACTGGTTATTACTTCAAAAAAGCGTGCTTATCTGACGCGTAATTTTGATCTACAACCTCTTTTATGAAGTCTGAGAGTCTAAAGTAGAACTTCTAGTGGTAGAAGTGGGTATGGTTTGGTTTTTGTTACCATTGAAATTGAAATTGAATTGATAGTTAGTTAAATTTTTAGCCAAATTTTAAAAATTAATAACCAAATTGGCAAAAATTAGTTTTATCAATTTTGGTTATATCTTTTAGAATAACCATTTGGATCAATTTTGGTTTTAATTAAAATTTATTTTATATTTTTCAACGATTCTATTATTTTATTAATTGTTATTTTATTAATTTTAATAGTTAAAAAACTGAAAATGACCTAAGTAAATAAATAATTTTGTAGAAGTGACAAGAAAACTTCAAACAAATCTGAAAACTATTAAAAAATTTATATAAAAGGTTTTTAAATTAGATTTTTTAATTAGCAACCAAAATTTGAATTGTTTGAGATTGATTTGGTATGATTTTTAGTCAAAAAATGCAAAACCCAATTAAACCCAACTTGTTGATTATGATTTCAATATGTTTCAGATATGCTTTCGATTACGAATTTCCGCCCACCCCTATCTAGCGGAATCCACATGTACACCAAAGGAATTAAGTGAAGACTAAAATCCTCTGGTACTAACTTTAAGGAATTTGGTTTGTTTTTTACTACTAATAATTCTTTAGTGACCTAAAATTCTACAATGAATAATCTTGGAGAATTGTGTTTTCTAATCCTATTAACACAAATATATATTAGGAAGACAATAGCCTTTTTTTTTTTTTTTTTGTATATTAGAGGATTAGTTGTTTGGCAGTACAAAACTTTGAACATCTAACTTAATGGGAAGAAATCAAACTTTTAGTACCAAACTCAAGAAACTAAAATTATGAGGATCAAAGTGTCAAATTGATAAAAGATGAGGGACCCAAATACTTTTCCAATGAAGAAACAAAATTGCTTAAAACTTAAAAGCGCAAAACCCTAAGGCAAAAGCTTATTTTTAGCTCCTCACCTTATTAAATTTGAAAGTTTTAACTCCTTATTTTATACTATGATATTTTTAACTCCTTACCTTATTATATTTGTAAATTTTAGCCTCCTCACCTTATGCTGTAACCATTTTAACCCTTCACCTATTAAAATTAAAGAAAATAATCCCCACTTTGTAATATTTTGTTAGTTTTGTTAACTGATTATTAACTCTGTTAAACTGACTGTTAACTTTATTAACTGATTGTTAGTTGATTGTTAACTGTCAAAAACCTTTTTTTAGCAAACAGCATTAACAGAATTAATTTTATAATATTTTGTTAATTCTGTTAATTGGTTATTAGTTGACTGTTAGTTGATAAAAATCTACTTTCAGCTAACAAAGTTAACAGTTAGTATAAAGTGAGGGTTATTTTCTTCGATTTTAATAGGTGAGGGGCTAAAACCTACAAATCTAATAAGGTGAGGGGTTAAAAGTGTCATAATATAAGGTAAAAGGCTAAAACCTTCAAACTTGATAAGGTGAAGGGCTAAAAGTAGGTTTTTGCCAAATCTCAATACGATGTTCTGTTCTCAAATTATTTATAGGTATCTACATCTCAAGTTAAGGTATCGACCCTTGTCCCGCCTTGTGCTTTTTTATGCGTTAAATTAAATTTTATTTCCTTCCGGGGTTGGTCTCACTTCTTTTACCATTAGATTTCCTAAACCCTATAAAACTCATTCAAGATAAGAATTGGAGGGCTTTTGAAGTTGTTCATTTGGGAACTTTTTGAAAGTTCTTTTGAAGCCCTTTTATGCACTCCTGAAAACCAAGTTAAATGCTTAAAGAATTTATTAATAATAGTAGTTTAAGGAAATTAATATCCTCAAATTAGATTTTATTTTTCTTGAGTTTTATTCTTTGTTTTGGCATGGATTCTTAGTTGATAATTATGAACTTCAAATTTTATTATTTTTATTATGAACATTAATATTCAACTAACTAAGGCTACGATGTAGTTTAGTCAGTTTGATACATATTTCTATGATTTTTATGCTTTTTGGATTGTTATTTTATGATGAGTACATGTCATTGTTTGTAATGCTTTTTAATATTTGATCACAATTAAAATTGAAATGGAGAGCATAATTGAAATCAAGAAAAGATTTTATGAAATAGTTTTGTAATAATATATACCATAAATTGAATGAAGATATGGCTAACATGATTTGTACAGCATTAATGATGAATGGAATTAAAAGTTTATATGTGACATAAGGGAGTTCACAGAATATAATGTATCTTTATCTATTTAAATTTATATAAAGATATATTGGGTTAATAGATAAAAATATGTTTAGTATAATTTAAGAAAGTATATCAAATAGAATAGGAAAGCCATTGTTACGTGCTATATATATCTTAAGAGTATAATAATTTGAAATCTATATTTAGTAATTATGGTGAATTTGGATGGTTTGGTACCATATCTTGGTGAATTTTATTTTAAATAGTTATTCTCTTTAAATTAGTTTTAATTAGAAAGTCTACCCTTTTTATTTGTTCAAATAAATCTTGGATTAATTATCTTTTGTATTTAGTTAATCAATAATTCTCATGAGATTGATACTCTCTACTTATCATTATATCACTTGAGCAACTAGTGCATCATTCGCTTATATTAATCTTTTATCTTTCGTAAACTTGCATTTCTCATAGTGCATTATTGTGTGTGATCCTCTAGCTCTTTATTGCATTGGTAGTAATTAAGTTGTTCTACAACCCGTATATAGTGACATCTAGCAATGCCTTGTGGCCACCCAAATCAATAGAAATGTTGATAGCTTTTACAAATCTTCTTGTGATCAATACACTTGTGTAATTCAACCTTTCATCACCAATACTCAATCAAGCAAAATGCATACAATGTGTCATCATCCTTAAAGTTTGATTGATGTTTTTTCATTCATTCTCAAAATAGATGTACTTCTTGAATGAACTCTTCCACTTGCCATGGCCATGGACTTGCTAGAAGTCTTATCTCAATCAAAGGACCTAGAAAGGGACGAAATCCTATCTTAACTCACTCATCCTTCTCATGAAATTTGTGATACACTCAATAACTATATTACTAGCAACCCCTCACAGTGGTTGTTTTTTAACAATGTCAAGGTACGCAAGTCCTTACATAGAGTAATAATGATTTCAAATCAAAGGAACACTTACACTCTCGTTATAGATAAGAAGATACCAATGACATGTGCATGTAGTGTTTTCATTGCTAGTCAAATTGATGAAACTCATCTTCTTTGAGTCACACACATGTAGACTTGGCAAAAATTAACCCGACCCTTAAAAACGGGTTAGGGTCTACATATCTTAACCCGTGACCCGTTGGCAACCCGTAAAATTGACTCGAAAAGATCACGGGTCATGGGTGGGTCAACCCGCAGGTTAACGGGTTAACTCGTTAACCCCTTTTAGGAAAAAAATAATCTTAAATATTAATTTTTAAAAGGTTGTTTATTATTAATTAACAATTCATTTTCCCCAAAATTCCTAATCCCTAGTGTCATGTGCATTACTCCAGCCACCAGGAGAACCACGCAAAACCCAACTCAGAAACTCTACATCTTCCAGACTTCCACTCATGATTCTCCCTCGCTTATCTAATTCTAAATCAATTCAAACTCTACATCTTCCACCTCAGTTATCTAGTTCCAATATTCATTGCTCCATGTTTCCCACGCCAAAGCCAAACTCTACATCTTCCTCTTACCCTCTTGCTTTTGCAGTGCCCGAGTCGGTTCACTTATCTAAATCAATTTGCCACCTATTTGCTTTAATTTTTTCTCACCCTGTAAACATTATCACTTTCTTTGTTCTATCAAACAACTTCCCTTTGCAATTAAGGTATGGGTTTCAATCTTTCAAATATATGTTATTTTTTTTCTTGTTATAGATTTTGTATATCCAATTTTCATTTTAATAATGTTCAATAAGCTAAATTCTCTTTATAAGTCACTTTCTATAGTTGTTTTGAGATGTATCTTCATGTTTTTGTTGAATACTCAGTCAATTTTAATATCCTAAGTCCTGATTTTAATATCCCCAAAGTCCCAATTTCATGTTTCATGTTTTATTTTTCTCTATTATTCACTCATGGTGTTTGTATTAAGATGAATTTTTCATGTTTAGTTGAATACTTAGTAAATTAAATCAAAGGATCATTCTAAATAAACCTAAGATCATATCACTTGAACACTGTGAGTTTGTGACAAGTATTAGA